TTTAATTGCGTCGACCTTGGAGATTGGCTCGACACCCGCATCGGAAACAAGGTCATTAGCAATGTGCTGCTGGAAGAAGTCGACTACATTGACCAGCGAATTGACCGTCCTGACGCCATGTGCTGCAGTCACTGCTCCTTTGGCGGCGATCGATAAGAACAGTGAGATGGCCGTATCCTTGTCCTTCCAGTTCGTCTTGCCTTGCTCCAGATAATGGTTAATATATCTTCCTGCAACATTAGTGACCAATTGCTCGAAGTTGCCTTGAAGCTGTCTTAGGAAGTCGGTAGCTGCTCTTCGTCGTGAATCTGTGTCTGACCCTTCAAGGTCGCGACGGATAAACTCGATAGGTTCATCCTCAAATAGTTCAATATCGGACTCTCTCAGCGCAACATTGGGTAGCACCACCTTTTCTACAACTTGACCCAAAACGGATTCGTCGTTGAAAGCTAGGGAGTGCCGTGGGTTTGCAGCAATTGCCGTCAGGAAATGTAGCGCTTTGCTGACAAGATTATCGTACTTGGTCTCGGGTCCAATCGCGGAGAGCAAGTTCCAGGCGCTATTAATAAAAACTTGCGTGTATCGACCGAAATCGTCGTCAAATTTCGTGACGTAGAGCTGCAAAAGTTCGCAGATATCGGCCTTGACTATTTCAACTACGCCAGCTTCTGAATCATCGTCTGTCGCTAGCAGCGGGTTTTCGTAGGTCAAGTACTTGAGAAGTAGGGTCGATAGGTGTTCCAAATTCGATTCGAATTGGGGCGGCATATCCTGGCAGGATAGATCGTAAAATACTTTGATGAGCAGACTCAACGTGTCGAAGTAACCCTTCAGGACCTCCTTGTCGTTGGCATGAGCAGTGATCTGTTGGTCTGTAGCCTATCCTAGTATTAGCTGAAAGCAGCCCAGGAGCGACTAGCGGGGATGCGTCCTTACACTCAGAAGATTTAGGAATGGCACAGCGAATGTGTTCAGAACATGGTTGATCTCGGTGTACAGATCATCAGAGCGGTATAGCGGCCGCCACCTAACGAAGATAGAGTGTGCGACTTCCAGCACACCATTGTTGACCTTGAAGTTATCAGGCGAAAAGCGTGATACGAGATCGGCAACAAGAGTATCCCATCGACTCCAGAAATCAGAGTCGGCAATTATACTGATAGCCTCACCTAACTGCGTTTGGATGGTGGAGGGACAAGCAATCATAAGCCCAATAAGCTCTTGCTTTATCGTGTTAACCTCCTCGATGGGAAGCTTGTAGTTGCCTTCTTCATCCTGAACGGCGTAGGGATTAGCATTAGACGTGTCGTGGTGTTGGATTGTGCCGCTTATAACAACATACCACATAGTTGTGTCGGATGTAGTTCTTGAAGCAAAGTGCTCCGGCGAGGCGGGTCTTGGGTTGAAGATTCTCGGTCGCTACTATCTTGAGCAGCTGTAGCGAAAACTGAGGCTTCTTTTCTTCATCCTTGAGCTTGTTCTCGGCTATTATCAATTTAAATGTTAGTTTGAAGGACAGTGGTCGCAGAGCGGGAATAGCGACAACTTATATGCGACACCATGGGGCGGGGCAGAAGAGCTCTCTTACGTACCTTTCTTATGCTTCACAGGGTCGAGAGTCGCATCCAACAGCTGGGCGATATAGCCCAGGTCCGAAGCCATGATGGCTGCTGCTCGTCGTGGCCGAAAGAGTTGGAATGCTAGAGTTGATGCGTGTATGTTTGCGTTTACGGTTAGGAAAAGTTGTTGGCGGGAGATTTGGATAATGTTAGGTTGCGCTTTGTACGTAGTGCATCTTTTAGTATTTAGCGTTAAGCCAATTACTATTTTTTTTTATTCTTTTATTGACATTTTACTGTTGCCTTGCAAGTGTTTGGCCGACGAGGCAACCATAACCACTAAGAAAGCTTGCTAGTGGTCTGTGCACAGGCAGTTTCTACGTACGGGATAAATGAAAGAGGGGCATAGTGGGGTTGATATGCTTAAATCAGCTACCTGCCCTTTGATAAGCCCAAAGCCCCACCATCATCATCATAGAGGTGCACAGCATAGAAGCTACGGGGTAGCTACGGTATAAAGATGATTTACACGTGACTTTCACCTTCTTTGTCCTAGACAACTTGTGCTCAATACACACTTTAAGCTTCCTGTGAGATTGCAAGCAAGTAAGAGCACAACTCTGTTAAACCCCGAAAACCCATTAGACTATTAATACAGCTAGAAGTTCCTTGTCCTAGACTCCTAGTTATCTCGGTAGTTTAAAAGTCTAACAAGAGCGTTTCTAGGACTTGCCCTCAATATACTCCCAAGAATCAAGCCGAAGCATATCCTCCTCATATATAACTTGTGCTTAGCTACCTTAAGGGGTAGCCTTCTTGTATCCTGACCTACGGTACCACAGCATCAGCGTATCAGAATATGTCGTTTAGAAATATACAACCTCTAGGATATGATTGTAGTTCTCGATGATTTCATCATGGAAAGGGGCATAAGTCCCGTTTAAAGTGAGCTCAGGTTGCTATAGCTAAATCGGACTCTTATCTTAGAGACTTAGAACAAAGGATGCCTCAAGTATATATAGTCACTAGCCTCCGTAGTTTAGATTTAGAGTCCATTGTATAATAGCGAAGCTTCTCCATGCTTTTTAGGTCCGTCTCGTGATGGATCTGATCCAATAAAAACTTAGATCGTGATGTATATTTAGGGATTATCTGAACAGTTCTGCTACTTGCGGATTGGTCTGCCAGCCCTTCCAAATAGATTATTTTCCAGAACACTGATATACTAAATTTCGTTAGTAAAATGATATTCCTTAATTCCGCTCTGCATTCAATATATTAGATAGCTACTTTTCGTTCTTATTTGCAGATTAGGTTTATTACTTAGCGATAACTTAACTAAAACAAGCTATTTTAATATTTTGCAAACACGAGTAAACTTTTATTGATACGATTACGTACATATAAAAATGGGCTTCGAATTTGTTGTTTTCATTGAAATGTTATAATACTTTGTGGAGGGAAGTAAACGAACTATGTTATTTTATTGGTAAAATTGGTGGTAGGTAGTACGTTAGTGTTCTAAAAAGTAATCTGTCTGGAAGGGCTGGCAATGTACTCCGTAAATAGCACAACTCTATATGAAACTTTTTTATTATGAAACGATTCCCAAGACTGAGAGGCTATTTTACCATTTAAAGTCCAGGACAGTTAACTAATACGTAGGTATATAGTGCTAACACTTACACGCTTTTTCATCATCGAGTGGTGCCACGGGTAGTCTATAACTTTGAAGAAGATAAGAAGGCTCACAGAACTAACACTAACCTAACAAAAACGCATTAATTGAAAATGTAAATTCTGGATTATACTTACCTACTTACCTTAAATGTATGTTAGTTTTACCTCGCAATGCCGCTCATAGCTATTATACTAGAATGTTAGCTGGGTAGTCTTTAAAATATCTAGGCTATCTCGAGCCCGAGCGTTAATAATTTCCTTAAGGAAAATCGTCCTATCGCATTCTTATTAATCGCTTATTAATTCTTTATCCAATACTTAGCAATTGCTCATTGATTTCCGAGGTTTGAGCGTGATAGGTTCCCTCGAAAAGTTTTTGGTTCTTTCGGAGACATAATATGCTCTTTCGGAAACATAATTATTAAAGTCTATTCATATTTATAGCTCATTGTACAGTATAGCTATACTTACCTTACATTAAGAGCGGAATCGGCGCGCAACTGAGGCAAATTAAGATAAATGAGGCCTCAACAATTGGTACATAAATAGATTTGGTATGCTTAAGAATAAAAACTATTCATCGTGATAAAGGGACTGCGCGTCCAACTTGGGGGCAAGAGAGATGACCGGGCGGCTTAAAGACTTCCTCCGTCCCGCCTGTTGGTTTTACTCGCACACCGAAGTAGCGTATCATTCGGCTCGTTGTTGAGCCGGTATTTAATCTTGTGTCCGGATCGTGGCGTCCAGTCGATGAAATATTACGGGCTTCCAAAATCCCGGGTTGACCAATAATTCTCTTTTATATCGTGAAGCCGGGGACATAATCACCGCCAGGCCGGGGACCCCACAACGGATGTTTTGATCTACCGGGCTTTGTCCTGTTTCTGCGGGGGCCTTTTTACATAAATACGCGTAGCTGAGAGCCTCGTCGGTATAGGTACGTAATGAAGCATAGAAGATGCCTTATGTCATGTTATTCTGTCTTAGACACAGGCTGGGTTGGAGGGTTGTGGCTGCTGATCGCGTAATGTCGGGAGCTTTGATTTGTTAATACGGCAGCTCTGCTGCAATTTATGTGACAGGTAAGCTGTCAGCATTATACATATAACGCCTATAATACGGAAGTCTCCAATTACAAAAAGTTCTCAGTTCCTCGAAGATAAGTTCCCGAAATGGTCATCGGCGATAAGCAAGACGTATTGTTCGGGCGTAGGTACATAATGTAGTAGCCCACCCATCGGCGTTGTTTCCCTTCCCCACATTCCGTGTGCGCAGTAAGTACCCACGTATTTATCGGCCCCGCCAATTACTCAATTTAGTCAAAAATCTTGATGTTGTCCAATCAAAAGTCGACGAGCTGCTCTAATGTACAACATCACTACATGTGCTATGCAAAAGACGTTGAATATTTGTCGCTATCCGCGTCCGAACGGACGCAATGCCCGATGGACACGGATTGCGAAACTCCAGTGTAGTAGTGAAGTAGGTAGCAGAGTAGTTGAAAGAAGGGTCCGATAGTCCGACAAGCCTAGAATATTCCGTAATAGGAATAGGAAACAGACAAAAATCATTAGCTTATTTCTCATCACGTACTTAGCTTACGATATCATTTTTTGAGATCCAAGTCTCCTTACAAATCCAACACCCCGGTGCCGGGGCGGACTTGTCACACATCCGAGCTGCGTACCCTGCATATGATCTAACACCGGGTTATAATATTGCGACGTCCTGCATTGATACCTTATATCTAGGTACATAAGGGACCACAGCTCAACAATAATTAAGAGACCCGAAGCCGGATAGAACCTTGAGACGTGCATGCCCTAGGGTGAAAGACATCGGATTTAAAACACCACGACCACCCTCCTACTATATCTTACTTTCTTTCCTAAACCTCTCCTCTTCTCTGTCTCTCTCTCTCTCGGCCCGACGTCAAGAAAAACTCAAGATGGCTCCGAAATCAGTCGCCGTTATTACGATGAGTACCCGGGGTACCCGAGCAGGACCTAATGTAGCTAGTTTTGTTCGGAATATTATTGAGAAGCCTCTGGCAGCGGACAGCATATCCATTACCGATGTGGATGTCGTCAAGTTTAACCTCCCCGTCTATAACGAAAAAGTAGCTCCTATCAGTAAGTAGGCTCTTATGTATAGCATTTTCTTTATTCTCTTTATTACGTTGTCATGCAGTATCAAAGAATAGATAGAGATAACCTATAATTTCTGCTGGGAATTCGACCTGACACGACTGGTAGTGGTGCCCGAGCAGGCCTCTTTCGAATACGAGCACTCCAAGGCCTGGAGCGCTGAGATCATAAAGTACGATGGCTATGTCCTCGTCATCCCCGAGTACAACTACTCGATGGCTGGAGGCACCAAGAACGCTATTGACTACCTACTCCACGAGTGGAAGGGAAAGCCGGTTGCCATCGTCAGCTACGGTGGTGGAGGTGGCGTCAACGCCAGCGAGCAGGCTAAGGGGGTTCTTACCAACATGGGCCTCAAGGTTGTCGAAACGCGGCCTCAGCTAGCTTTTGCTAAGCCAGACTTATTCGCTATCATAGGCACTGGGAAACTGGGAGACGAGACCGTGAAGGCCTGGGAAGCAGAGCACATTCCGAGCATACAGAAGGCTGCTGAGGAATTGAAGACCTTGTTATCGCAGCCCAGTGCTTAAGCCGATGCTCTCAAGGAAGAAGAAACTGAGTTGCGGTCGGTTAGCCGGATGATGAGAGTGGATGATGCTATGTATACAGAACGCCAGGATTAACAGAGTCTTGATCTGAACTTTCTTTCCACGGCAACAACTAGCTAGCTAGACACATCTTGTTTCCCAAGGACCTTCTACAAAAACGGGGCCTACCCTCTACAGCTTTCATACTTATGGCATGCTTGGATTGAACGAGCAGACCTTAATTTGTCGCGTAGCCGTGAAAGAATGAGGTTAGCATGCTAAACTCGAATACTCCCGTGGGATATAAGAGGCGACGATTGGTGAGTTTCCATCGCTTGGGACTACTTACTAACAACTTCCGGCCCGGCGCAGAGGCGTTCTCGAGCGTCTGTGCTATTACTGAAAGATGGCCTTTTCTTCCTCCAACTCCAAATGAGCTTACAATACTACTTCCTAGCGCAACTTCGTCTTACCAAAGTGACCATACCTTAAATTCAAGAGGCTAATTTGAATAAGTTGCGGTTGAGGCTGAAGCTTATTAGCTTACCAACAAAGGATTCCCAACTTCCCAAATATTTGGCGATCTTCGAAATTGACTCATGGGGCCGAAAGGAAACTACAAGCAGCTTATTACCAATAACTAGGTACCTAGAGTTAGAAAAGGCAGTTGCGCCACTTTTTAACGACACGTGCTATAGTTGGAAGGAACAAACATAGGTACCTTAAGCTTTTGGTAACCAACACCTACAAATTCATCAACTACACCTGACGTAAAAAGAAATCCTCCAACTTTACAATACAGTAACTACATCTCACAACTCATCTTAACTATCTCATCTTACTTACCACCCATTCAACACAACCATCTCCTCTGCCTTCTACGCGTGTCAAGATGGAACAAGCTACACCGCGATCATTTCTAGATCTCCCTGCCATCATTCGACGTCGAATTTATTGCGCAGCTGGCCTAGTCACCAACACCAACATCTACGTGAGCTGTGAAGAACGTAAAGAAATTCGTCGGCATATAGAGCTAAAGGACATACCTGACCTTACATTTTCTCTCAACCTACTTATCACCTGTCGAGCTATCTACAAAGAGGTATCTCATCTACTGTTCTCCACCAATTGTTTCTGCACAAAAGATCCGCAATACTTATGCCAACTTCCTGCTTCTTTTATATCGTCTCTATCATCTTTAAAGTTCTACCTGAACGCCATCTACGATCCAGGTTGTTGCGGTGAGCGCTCAAGATATCCCAGTAATATCAATCCAATAGTCAGCACCATCCCCGCTCACCGTTCTCTACTTGAAAGATGGGAAATTACGGTACGATTTATCAGTTCGCAACTAAAACCTCAAAATCTCAAGCTCGGCCTGATCTGCGATGTGGATGATGAAGAGACGGCATGTCTTGTTGTTAAACCCCTTCGCTATCTGCCTACCTTGTCCGGCTGCGAGATTCGACTCAGCTGTAGGCCTGATAGCCAGCTTGAAAACATAGCCCGAAAGGCTGCCTTACACGCCCTAGGACAGCGGCCACTCAAGCAGCCACCAGAGAGCCTTCATTTTCTACGGCTCCCACTGGAGATTCAGCTAGAGATATTAGAGTATACCGATCTAGTTACGCCTTTAAGCCATGTCCTACGGATCTCGCCTCATAAGTACTATCTCAAAACCTATTATTGTGAAGCACCGCACGAGCCTCCGTTTCATACATGCCACCCTAATGCCCACAGAGCATGTATTGGTGATGGAGATCAGTGCCGAATATTATGCCCGCATCGGAAGTGTAGCTACTGTACCCATTATGCCTGCCAGTTTCGGACTTGTGGGAGAAAAGTAGAGGGCGAATATGCTTGCATTACGGGTTGCTTTTGCAGTGTACGACATGCCTCTTACTCACCACATTGCCGTTGTTGGCAGCCTCCGACACCATTGTTCCTAGTCAGTAAGGAATTTTATGCAGCCGCACAGAGTGTATTCTTCTCCATGAATCACCTCGCTATAAATTACGATCGCTACACGTTATCCGAACTTGGAAGAGATACAACCAAATTTTTTACCAGCTTCATCTCCGGCCATTTATTACACAATCTTCGCTCACTACAGATCCATCCATACTATCCCGATTTTAGCCAATGGATGCAGACTGTCCGGTGCATCAAGGATAAGCTTATTAATTTACAATATCTGTTTCTCGTAGTCTATACCAGCGTCTTACCGAGCTGGCCAGACTTCCCTGATGACAACCCATTCCCACGACCCACACTTGCAGAAGAAAGGGGCATCGATATCGTGAGGGAGTCAGTCGACTTTGTATGGCCAGTGAGACATATTGGTTCGCCAAGTAGTGCCATCCGATTGTTTTTCGTGGAGTTTTCCTTGGAAGGCGCGTCAGTGTACTACTATAAGCGACATGAGCAAGAACATCTTCCTACTACTATAATCCGTATGGACATCACAAATATTCATTCTGAGGACGTTTATGTTGAACGCAAGGTTTGTAGCGATCTCATGTGCGAGGTAGACGACAGCTCGTTAGCGTTGAAGTCGACGAGCGGTGTGTGGGTAGAAGGTATCTTAGCGCGCCCTAACCCAGACATTTATGATGGATTTACTTCCGAGTAATATACATTGAGCGTTTCGTCGCAAAGGTGGTATAGTTCTGCAACATACCTGCGCAGGCCATGTATCCAGGGTTGCCACTCGATACGGAGGAAAACCATTGTATTTAAGTAGAATCCTTCGGTGATCTCGTCAGTTCCTACATAGAGAATCTGGAGGGATTCATAGAGCCGATTTCTGTTAGTTAGATAGCTGGTAGCTAAGTTATCCTTGATCAAAACTTACTTAATACGTTGAAGAGGCCAATAGTAAGGTACTAAAATACCCCGTACAGGCGTAGTGATTAAGGGGTTGTAGAGAAACACGGGGAGTGGTTTGTGGCTCTTTTGCAGCCTGTGAGATGTAAAGCTACGTTAAGGAGGTTTATACTCTAAAAGTATAGCATGTTCCCTAATCATACTCCAAATAGCACCGGAATAGCCCTGAGTAAAGCAGCCAAGTGTAACATAACTAAGTAGGGGTTAATAAGGCCAGCTTATCAGAGAGAACCCTTGATTGGTGTCATACATAGAGTAAATGTCAGGATATTTAAATTGAACTATTAACGCCTGGCCTTCTATCCTCTTCCGAGGGCGCTGTGCTCCTCTCACATATCCAATCTTAGTAAATATACCCCTGAATCTACCCCTAACCCACTTATCCCCTAACACAGCTCTCTAGAAACGCAACAGCAATACCAACGCCAAATAAAAAATCAAGAAAATGGCAAACCCAAGATCAATATACTAGAGAAAAGAAGAAGAAGAAAGCCTCCTTAAAAAGAATAAAAAAAAAATAAAAAATAAAATAAACGTACAACACCAGGGATTCGCTGGTCGTCACCGACCCAACTACTAGTCCGGCGGTATCCGGCTTGTCTAGGGGAGAGCGGACGGGATCCCGAATTTTCCAGATCCTATGGTCGTACGTGGAAGTAGCAGTTGCCATTGGGACATATATTGATACTCTGGGCTCCCGGTATACGGACCTTAAGCGAGGTAACGAGAACACCGTATGAGGGCCTGGGGTTTCCAAACCCTGCGTATAGTGTAATTCACTGGGTTAGGTGGATTCTGGCTAGAAATGCAGTGAAAGGGGCAAAGAGTTCAAAGTTGCTTTTTGTTAGACGTTAAGCTTGTTGATAGGTATTAATCTAATCTAGCTCATCCATGGACGAGAGCAGAGTCTTGATAGACATCTGTAAAGTATTCATATCGCAGTTTTGGCATTTTGTATATATCACATCATATGAGCAAGCTAACATAACAACGCAAGGGAAGACGCGTAGAATATATAGATACCTAGGTAAATAGCCCGTAAGTTTCCATGCAAGTGTCCCAAGTATTACCCGTATAATCAATTATATGACATAATACAAAACCGTAAATTCGTTACTCGTTACCTGATACCATAACCAGCCCATTAAGAGCCGTTTCCCTGTAGGCCAGTCCTAACTAGCCCCCCTCCATCATTACTCGTACTTATTTCTCAATACTTAATCTTCCCCCCTTTTATTCTTATAAATTCTGGCTCTATTTTATATACACATACGCTGTCCTTATAAAAGGTCGTCATTTTACATGACAGAGCATAATGTAGGCTGACTGTCGGGACTAGTGAGTATGAGGCCGACTTCGTCCCGGTTTCGGGTGTGATGAGTTCTTGGAGCGCCCTTCATAATTATGGAATCTTTAATCGCGATAATATAAACTAGTAAAGTGTAGACCGTAAGATTTCAAGGAATTTGATTCGGATGTTGTAGGTTGGGAATGGATGTTGTAGCTTGTGGATAAATAGTCTGAGCAAGGTGAACTGACCTGAAGTTATATAGTAGCCATAGTATAGGCGACTTACTAGATAAGTCACGAGGGCTCTTTCAATGAATGTGCATCTCTTTCTTGCGAATATGTTAGCTAGCTAGCTGAATTCCTTTGTCCAGTTACTAAAAATAAGCGTTCAATTTCCCCGCTTCTTTACAAAACTTAGGACATGCACGACACTTCGAAAGACATAGAATGGTTTGACGACTAGCATAATTCAGGTACTACAAAGAAACCTGTTGCTACTTATAAGTTTAACCTCTTTGGGTCTGGTATTCATTGTCCCTATCCCTAAGCCGGCCCCCCTTTGCATAAACTCGTTAGCTCATAACCATCCATCCTCATAACAATGCGACATTAGCTTATTTGAAGACCTTGCCAGAGGCGTGCTTGTACTCCTTGTCGTTGTGAACGACAGGCTTGTCCCATGTCCACATGGATTCGACGAAGGCCTTGTCCTCAGGGTTGGTGGGGTCCAGCTTGGTGAACTCGTAGCTCTCGTAGTCGGGAGCGACGTCAAAGACAGGGAGGTAGTCATCACCTCGGATGACAAAGGCACCCTCGATGACCGAGTCGTTGTTCTCGCCGTACACGGAGGCACAGCCGAAGAGGTACTTGCGAGAGGCCTCAAGACGGGTGTTGAATCCACCAATCAGGTTGTTGGACATGAAAGTCAAAGTCAACTCATCGTTGTACTTGTACTTGACCTTCCAGATGGAGTAGTCGGTGAAAGGGACGTTCTCCCAGAACCACTTCAGGGAAACATCCTCGTCGTTGTTCGAGTAGAAGCGCTTGAAGTCGTCAAGAGCGAACTCTGATCGCGGAAGCGCCTCAAGAGGGTGCTTAGGCTTGGGAGCAGGTGCGGGCTCCTCTTCCTCTGCGGGCTTAGGGGCAGCCTTGGGAGCCTTGGGCTTGGCCTGCTCAGTCTTCTTGGGAGCGACGTTGGTTAACTTGGGAGCGTCAAGAAGCTCAAGAGGCTTGGAGACATCGGCGTAGATGGGCTGGTTGTAGACAGTCTCGTACCATCGAGTGACGTTGGGGTGCTCAGAGCGCCACTTCTTGTCGAAGAAGTACTGGAAGCCACGCGAGATGATACCAGCAGCGAACAGATCAGCAAGGGTGATGCGCTCGCCAACAAGGTAGGTGTTGTGAAGAAGGTGCTCTTCGACAACGGAGATGACCTTCTCCGAGTTCTTGGCGGCATCTTCAACACCCTTCTTGTTGTAGGGCTCAAAGCCCAAAAGAGGGCGGTACCAAGCAGCAAGCTTGGGAAGAACCTCGGTGTTGAAGTATGACGTCCACTTCAGAATGGAAGCGTAGCTATACGATGTTAGTACGTGATCCTTTAGATATCACTACAAGACAATGACTTACTCTTGCTTAGTCTTGCCAAGGAGGGTGGTCTTCTCGTTCTGAGAGGTGACTGAACAATGAGAAATTAGTAACTTCCCACTTCATTTTAAGCGTGAATAAGCAGTGAATAAAAGGCGATATAATCAGAAAGTAGAACCATGATCAACAGAAATTTTCAGATAGGGATAACTGTTAGAATAATGTCTAGGTCATCATTTGATGCCATTGGTAGAGGTGTTGGAAATATGAATTCAATCTAGAAAGTATCAAGTACATACTGTAGATGGCAATGGCCATAGACTCGGTCAAGGTGTAGCCATCGCTGCCAACGAAGGTAGGGATCTTGGCAAGGGGGTTTGCCTTGAGGAACTCAGGAGACGGGTTGACTGTGTCGGCCTCAACGATGTCTAGGTCCAACCCATTGGCCTTCGCAACCGCGAGGATCGCGGTAGAGCGGGGGTTGAGCTGCGAAACGGATAAATGTCAGCATTTGCGCAGAAAAATAAGAGAAGACAATTTTAGTTATTGCTACCTACCTCCTTGGTAAAGATCTTTCCGAATGGCGCCATGGTGATTTTGGGATCTGGTGCTTGTCGAGTAGAAGATGAGAGGAGGGGAAGGTTGAAAGTTGACTTGGGAGTCACAGATTTTTTTTTCTACTCTCGAAAAAGTAGGAGGCGGGGCAATTTCGCTCTGGCTTAATTCAAAATTCCATCAGGCACTAACCACCCCACTTTTAGAAACAATTTCAATTGGAGGTTCGGACCCCGCCTTCTCACGCTATCAAGCGGGCGGTAATCGGAATATCTAATACACCGTCCAATTGAATTTGGCCCGGCTTTGCATTTGAAAAAGTGCTTCAATTGATGCAACCAAGTCCCCATCAGCGTATCACACCTATAATACGCCCAACATTCCAGCCTATTGATCGATCGATTTAGTAGGCGCAAGGCCATGACGAGGATACGATAGGTACAATGTCCTCTCTAAGATATGGCCTTCGCTGTCTTAGAGATCTCCGGGCGACAGCGACCCGACAACCGAGTCTCTCAGCATCTATAAAAGCTTGTATGAGCTCGGAAACACACCGAACATTCACAACGACTACGGTCCGCCAAGACGATCCATTTAGCCGACTAGAGGCGGCTCTGGCACAAAGCCCTGATGCAGCCGAACTGCAAGTAGCGCATGTTCGTCCTATGCCGCTATCACCTTCCTACTTCTCGCGGCATACGCAATTCAACGATAGTTTCGTCCTCATTCAGGACCTCGCACGGAAATACGGGCGACTTCCTTTTCTCCCTCCTGGCCAAGCGCCGCGGGTGGCATGGAAGACAAAGGAGCAGTACCGTTTGGCAGTTGGTGAAGCAGTGAAAGCAAGAGATTACGCAGCCTGCATTGGGCTGGCCAAGAGGTTAAATCAAATTCACCCCGATTTAATGCCAGAGGAGGTCCAGCAGGGTCTCCGACCGTTCAAACGAGACATCAACTTCTATCTCAATCGAGCGAAACCCATTCCGATCGATAGGTTTGGCAGGTCGCATGGTGTTGGGAGGAGGAAATCTTCAGTTGCGCGAGCATGGCTTGTACAGGGAACAGGGGAAGTTCTCATTAACGGAAAGACCCTTAATGATGCATTTGGAAGAGTCCACGACCGAGAAAGCGCACTCTGGGGACTAAAGGTAATGGACAGAATAGACAAGTACAATGTCTGGGCTCTTGTAGAGGGTGGTGGAACTACTGGACAGGCCGAAGCGCTTGCAATGGCTGTTTCCAAGGCCTTGGCCGTTCACGAACCGGCATTGAAGACGCCCCTTAAAAAAGGTAAGTCGAAACAAAATCCATACAAATTTTGGCCTAGTACCTTTCTAATATGGTCCATCAAGCCGGTTGTCTCACTCGTGACCCGAGGAAAGTCGAAAGGAAGAAGGCTGGTCATGTCAAGGCGAGAAAGATGCCCGCCTGGGTCAAGCGATAGAACAAGTCAGATATGGTATTTGGCAGTGGGACTCGTGGATCGCTTTTCTGCGGGACCTTCGAGCAGACGAATACCTATCAGCCTTACTGGCACGAGTCTAGGCTACATCGTGGTCCATATTACCCAAATAGCGGACTATGTGTACAAGGGTTACTGTATCATTATGTATCTGCTTCGTATGTGGAATGTATATGAGATGCCAACAACAGTAACAGCTAAGACTGAGACGGCTTGTGATTCGCTCGCCATTTAGATCGAAGTTGATCTTAAGGCTACTTCGTAAATGAGCCTCGCCAACGCGGCCCCCCTTACTTATATTAGTTGACCAATCAGAGTGCAGAGACGCTGATTATACTAAACACGAGTCGAGTAACCGGCTATTCGGGTTGTGTTATATCATGTATGACGGGTGGCTGTAGGATCGGCGTTATGTCGTGTTTAGACTCCGCGTAATACAACGACGGTGATCAATGAAACTTCAAATCCAACTAAATGAAAATAGCCCTGAAATCAACATACCGGTAGTATAGCTCGTGAGGTATTTCTAGAAGCTAAAACAAAACTCTAGGCGCAAAGACGCGTGGCACCGTCACCATTTTTTAAAAGCGCGGTGCTTACGCAGTAGATATCAAGCACAGACAACATATCAAGCATCTCATATAGCATAAGCATTAAGTAATATTCCTTCCAGAAACCGAAAAGAGCGACTATGCCGAATATCGACTAGCTTCAGACAATAGCAGACGCGGAATCCTTCTAGAAGGGAGTGATCTGCCTACCTTGTAGGAAAGCTATTTAGGAGATATAGATTAAGGTCATGGTTGATTTTTGAGTATATAGCTGTACGCCACCTACGTTAGTTAAAAGACATGAGCTGAGATCTTGGATCCTCTGCTAGTGACTTACGTATTCGCAACGAGGCGAGTAATAAATTAAGGCTATAAGTTAATGGTTACCTAAGACATCTACAGTATATGCTGGTCATCTCACAGAAATTTGACTCTAGATTTGACCGATCCCGTATTAATAAACGTGACACATCTTAGCCATCCGACTACGTGTCTAGTTATTGAACCAAGATAAACGTGAATCAGCGTGACCTGACTCTAGCTGTAACCCAATACGAGAAGTGGTGTTTCTGCGGAGAAACGGTGCAAGCCTCATTTGGTCCGGATGAGGCTGAGAGTGACAAACCACACAGCATCCAATACTGTAACGTTGGTCACTTTATATTGCCGATCTTTCCTGTTCCGATGCCCTATTTGTACGCACTTATGTCGCGCAATTTAGGCTTTACTTAGACGATCCGGCATTGAAAGAGATATTGCCGGCCACCTAAACCGACCTAACCACGTTGACTAACCTCGAAATATGCCAAGTCTGGGAAAAACTGGTACAGTATACTGCAGATCGTCTAGTTGGAGAAGCAGCTAGCGAACATAGGGTTAATTTGTTGTTATAGGAGAGTCGGTGACGCCGATGTATCAACAGCATCTAAACGTATCTCTGCGAAGCCACACCGTACTTACTACCTCCTGAGATTTAGCAAGGGACCACGTACATAGCAAGCCATGACGACTATGGCGATCCATTAGAGAAGCTCTACTACGTAGGCTGGTAGGTACCTATCGTATAGGGACCAAAGCTCATGTGGGTCCTCCAGCGCCCAATTTCTATTCTTTTCGAAATCTCGGGGACCTGCGCTAGGTAGTCAACAAAACCCATAAAAATGGGGTGATTTCTTGTACATAGTACACTAAAGAAGAATCAATTTCATACCTCGAGCTAGGCCTATCATCTGCCTCATGTATGTATTACATGCGGGGGATTCTAGCTCACAAATATCCCGTACCTATCATTTATTTTAGTGATACACCGACCTACATAGAGGTAGGCACATGATATCAAGTATCTAGGTCGTCTTGCGCATGCGTTAGGTATGTGTTAGCACGACCGACCAGTATCCCGCCGAGGCGACTGCCGAACTGTTCGCTCAAGCTCTAAGCTAGAGGCTTCTCGACGAGCTATCCGCATACCAATGACTACCGCAACCTTAGCATGTTAGTGTTATTATTAGTGTCTCTACTATAATACGTGTAATATATGCTATAATAAACTTAGCCGTTAACATGCTTACCAGGAAATACGTGGTTAATATTGAGTAAAAGAGATCTGAGAATTGATGACAGCGGATTGGGTTGATGTAACACCCCGGCTGACTCCGGGACAATGTCAGACGTACCCTTGTCGTTCTTGACGACATCCCAACGCCCCTGTCTCCAACAAGGTTCAAGGATCTTATTTAAACGACCAGATATCCGCCATTTCTTGCTGGAAGGCCTCCTTGCGGCCTAATAGGTACCCCGTACTGCCGTGCCCTATTCTCAGCACATACCAGGCAAGAATGGAAGTACCTACTCCTAAAATATGCACTTTGTAGACAATGTTGGTCTACCTCGGTCCTTAATTGTAAAGATTCGTAGACATCAATAATCTGCTAGCCACTCATGTGGTGAGCATGATCGAACCACCACGAGACGGTCTAGCAAAGGGTCAAGCATCAATTGATTTGTAGTTAGATTGCAATGGGAGCTGTAGGCAGTAGGCAGGCCAGGTTAGGAACGTATACGTCGGCCACCTAAATATTTAGCCAATTCATCGCTAAGGCCGATTGTATAGTCTCATACTTCGTTTTGATATCGGCCAATACTAATAGTCGACGGTATCGAGACAATTACTCAGAAAGAAATATTCTTCTGTCGGCCTCTTAGTCTATTTGGGTGTGTGGTCCGACTCAGACTCCCCGGCTTCTTTTCCCCGGGGAATTGAATCAGCTCCCATCACAAGCTCATAACAGATAATTTAGACCCTTTAGTGGCGCCTTCTAGATCTTTGACTAAATATGCCGAGCATACCAATAGAATGGATATCGTATCAAATTCTAATTTAGTTAGGGCGTGTAAAAAATATGGGTTATTTTGGAAATTGATGTCTTAAAAACCTAGCGGTAGACGAGCCGTTCGCAACCTGACAGAAAGTTTGGGGGATGGGGGCCAAGGCTAGTATCGAAATGATCAAAATGTATAAGACATGAAATGACAGAAGGCAGGAAGTATAATTGAGGTAGGTACGCATACTGAAATCGGAAAGCACCGGGTCTCATATTCCCAGCATCTGCATGCATACGGCGTCTCCTTCCTTCCTAGATCTTACCTTATAATTGGGGACAATTGTTGTATGATGTCTGCTTACATAGATGTGGCCAAATTACCTAATACTAGTACATTAATCAAGTATATATATTTCTAGAGGTATGGAATTGTGTTTGAAATGTATTAGATCGTATACGTTTCCTCGTGCTTCCTCGTGTTTATCTCATCATTCAATGTTCTTATTAAACACACAAACTGAATTAATATGTCATAAGAAAACGCAGCAAAAGACAGCTACCGTTACAATTGTCTTCGCATGACACGATGATGAATGATAAATACTTGCTTCACGGTAGGTTCTAAAATGACCGATCCGTGCAGAATAAGGAATTATCTCTCAATCAGCATCAGCCACACAACAGAAAACTCGGCGCACAAATGGGAAAAGCAAAACCTCATTGTGTGTCACCTCTAACTAACCTACCAAGTCCTTTATTCGGTAGGCAATCAAATATTTATCCCCCTTCATCTTCACCCAATCCATCTTAATTACCCTTTCTTATCTACCTAAATCGTTCGCTACAACACGGCACTTGGGCAATCATATCTCTTAGCACGTAACAAAGGCTGATGTTTGTTAGGGGGGGAAATGTCTACCTATACAGTACCTAATGTCCATATCAACTTCGTTTCGTACAAACCAGGCACTATCGTACAAACGAGCCCTAAGATCTGGCGGCCGTTTTCTGATAGGCTGATCTGCGCCAGGAACATGCGCGGTGACCCGTGACACCCTTCGAGTCAAAGATCTATGTTGAGGCTGGAAAAGGGTTTGTCTTATATGCCCCTGGCCAATATACCTTACCCCGTACCACCCAATACCTAAGTCTATTCTCCGGCTCTGCACTCTTTTCACCCTCCCACTAAGGTATCTATCTAGGTACCTATCAGCTTCAGGCAGGGCCAGGCTTAGTCCGGTAGGGTATTGGACAGATCACCAGTCATGTCTCGTAGAGGCACACCCTTGGGGTATCGGTAAGGGGACTCATTCGGACCCGCTCTCGATTATCTGTGCGCACTGCGTAGATCTTGTTGACCCTGTCGCAACCAGACAAGCCCTGCCTAGCAAGCCCAGGGCCAGGCAAGCCCCAGGTACTTTTACGCACGGCGCGAGTTAAGGCGTTGGTGGTCGTTAATGTGTTTTGGAGAATCTAGTTAAAACTCGTCCCTATTCCGTTTTTCATTGGAAGGCCGTCGTCTGATCTCATGTATTACATACCCACAGCTTTGATGGGGTGCATGCGAAAAAGGGATTCGAACTTCTCATTCTGCATTCTGTCTACTCTAGAGTCTAATTGGGTCTCCACTCCCTCCTACTACCGGCTCCTCTTGACCTTACTCCTCGACATCCACCTAATAATATATCATGAGGCAAGTACCTACCGGCTAACCAGTCAGTTCCTTACTGTTCTAAGAAAAAAATCTTGTTATCTTGCTATCTGCTTGCTGCTTGCTGCGTGCTTGCTGCCCATTTGCACTGCACCGCATAGTGCCTACTACCTCTGTAGAAAATCCCCGGCCACCTTTAAAATCCTCCGGTGTCAGCAACTCTATTCTCACTTACACCAGCATACACCATTATTCGGGCATACCTAGACCCTTTTCTTGTTACTGGCCACCCTTGCCATACCTACCTTAAAGATCTACGTACGACCTCATTACAATATTACTTACCCATTGGTTTATCTCTTTAATTGCCCAGACCAAGACCAATCTTACTTTATCTCGACTTAGCCTCGAGCTACTCTAAAGCTGTCTACTCGCGGCTCGGAGAGAGTTAGCTAACCAAAAATCTCAGTTACGCCCGGGCGAAGTTGATATCCAACCTGGTATCTTTCAAGACCGCTGAAGAATTTGAGGTATTACTCCCCGGTCCTGGTGTGGCTTGCTAGTCGATTGGGCTGGGCAAGGTCACTATTTGTCGGTTTAGAAGTTAGTTACAAAAAATACTGGGATCCTCCCGGTAGGCGTAGTGACGATAACTGGCAAGTCAAATAACCTCCCCTAACCTACTCGGGATTTTTGTGGAAAAATCCATCCCAAGTTCCTACATAGTCGGCATCTACTAGGTAAGGACGAACTCAAAAATCTGGGACCTCGGAGGCATCGTCATCCCAGTAAGGGCCTAGGTTGGGGGTACCCGACATATGCTCGGGCGGTGTTTGCATCAAGAAGACTTTTCAGCATTCAAACTTTCGGCATCTCATACATAGCCAGTCTTCCCTGGCAAGATCTAACTTTTCGTCCTGTCGTAT